GGGTATCACATATGACGCCTGCAACGCCGTGCTACGTACCAAGTACCTCAGCCCCCAATGTCAATGGGCTGTCATCCACCATTAGATTTACAATCACTCCCCTCCTCGTAATTTTGTATGAGCATCGTTTCAAGCCCTCGTCAGAACTTACCACCGTGAAGACCAGCTTCAGCGGCTGCAGACTCGCTGCCGCCCTGTAGACCTCCCACAAATGCTGTGCCCCAGACACCCACCAACCCCCACAGGCCAACCCGCCAGCCGCGATACAACCCTTCAATCCCCTGTCCCTTTCTCTTCCGCCTGGGTGCCTTGCCCATCAACGCAGCAGTTTTATCTTTTTGAGTCTCAGAATAACCTTCTTCGCGTGCGATACTCCAGAGGGTGGGCAGAATCCCTCGGTAGGATTGGGGGACAGGAACAATGGTCGTAATCGCCTTGCGTTTGGAAGATGAGGAAGGGGGTGCATACGCTGGAGATGTCCAGGTCGCAATCTGTGCTCGACGGAGAACGGTTTCCAGAGGGAACTTGACCGATAGATCCAATGCCGATCCCACAAATGTCGCGATACTCCAAGTGGCTGGATTTATGATAGGATCCAGCCCGAGATAGGTTTTGAGAAACACTGGGGTGCTTACAGAGATCAGTGTTGGTAGAGTTGAGCTGAAGAAAGTGATAGGGATGAGATGGCTGGGTATGAGGTATGGAGTTGGTAGTGTCCGCAGTGTCCCAAGGAGTGTTCGCGGCTCTTGACTGGAAGGTGTCAGAATGAGTCTGGTACGGGCAGCGTCGATCGGTGCAAGGACAAGGGCGGACATTGCGGCTGCCACAGTGCTGATCATGATGGTTGCCACTGGAGCCGTAGAGGTGAGGATAGAGATGTCGGGAATTGCTCCCGGTGACGGCGTATTGAGTATGTCATTCTCTGCTATTCCTAGAATAGCCGCTAAGAAACTTCTGAAGAAGGTCTCCAAAGTCCTCGTCAGTATGTTGTACACAAATGTAGAATTCGTTGCCCGCCACATAGCCAACGCTCCGCCGCTCGATGATAGAGACGATAGAGCATCAATCAGGGAATGAGGGTTCTTGAGCTGTAATTGGACATCGGCTTGTTGAGGGTGATCAGGTACTCGTGACGACGCCGTTCCTCGAGGTGGTCTCCCGCGCCGACCACGAGTTGGCGAGCGACTCGATATCGATTGCTCAAAGGGTGCAGAAGATGTGAAGTAGTTGGGTTCGTCATCTGATGAGTGTTCGTAGTCATATTCGTCATGCTCATGGGCGTCTTCCTCTTCTAGCTCGCCAAATGTATGCCTCCTTCGCGGCTTTTTGTCTTCTAGCTCATCGTCTTGTGCAACGCGTGCCTGCAGGATCAGCTTTGCCACCTCAAATGGCTGCGCAAGCACGACATTTGCATATTTCCATAACGCGTTATCAACGATTGATTTGACCGATCCCGGTAGAGATGGCGAGGTATCAGAAATATAGTCGGAATAATCGATGTCGGGAAATGCGAAACTAGTGCCCTGAGGGACGGGTTTCGAGGTACCCAAGGTAGAATTAGGTAGCGGATCGGTTCCAATGGAAGGAGGGACGTAGTATGGCCTGAGAGGATTCGGAACGTATCTCGAGTCCTGCATGACGAGATATCCTCAGATCAACGCAGGATTCTGGCCTGCAGCTGTTTTGAAGCAGTGACAGAGTACATAAGGTGATCGAATTGCAAGTTCAATACAAGCGAAATATCACGACGTAATTTGCCCCGAAAATTGTACGGTGCAGCAAGACTCTGGTAAAGCGCATTTGACCGTCATTTGAAATGGCCGTTTTTGCTCTGCAAGGCTGAAGTCACTTGTGCTCCTCAAGTACTCGCTCGGTACATTGACTTAGGGACGAGCATGGCAAATGGCCAAATGCAGTGACCAATAATGTGTTTGCCACTGCACAGCGACTTTGTGTGACATGCTCTATTGCGAATATAATAGGACGTAGTGAGAGACAAAGGTCACATGGTGGTTCCTACAATAGGCAGTCTCCAGAGTACAATATCCCATAGTGTCTACATTCTCGTTGTCGTTATCAAGAATCGGAGAATTGTGTTGTGAGATCCTCACTTTTGGATACTTTGGTATACAGGATATAGTACGACGACGAATACACCGTTGTTCTAGCAATATGAGTGTATAGCTGCTTGACAAGTCAGGCGAATGACAGCAAACACGTAGCTAGTTATGTGTGTTTGATGAGCATCAAATACTAAGAAATCGATGTATATATCTCGTCGTTCGAACAAGATATATCAACCATCAAGTCTTGAGGAGCTTTACAAAATCCTCAGACGGATTCAGGCTCAGCCTTACCAAAGGCACATTTATAGGAGAAGGAGCTGCCCCTTTCCCCATTTTCCCGAAACAACGGCGTCAATTTCGAAACACAGTCTTGTACAACTTCACTTCCACACTCGAACCTGTCAAGCATATATTTCTGTGCTCATATCATGTTGTGTCTCTACATATCGGTCTGATTTATTTAGCCACTGACTTTGGTATCTACATGAAACCAACATTTTGGTTTGTCTTGTGTTGGTTTTCAATTCGATGATAATTCCAGAAGAAAAACTCCTCCAATGTATTTGTGCAACACTTGGATCCGGTGTTTCATCAAAGACGCCCAATTCGGGCCACTACATGGCTCCCTTGTATAATGAGGACCGAGGTTGCACAATCTTCATCTTCCTGCCGCCGCCACAAGGTTCCATCGCTGAGCCTGAAAGGGGAATTGATTATACTCGTGCTATATGGGAAAAGACCGGTTGATGAACACTGTAGCTCAATACTTCAGTGACCCGATCCTTCGACCACTGCTTAATCTGCACCTTGGACAAACATGGCACGGCTGTGCTCCACCATGACTTTTTGACAGAACGATGTTCAATTTCAAAGGTAGGAGTTCGATATGGAGTTCATGTTGGATCCTCTTTGATGATTTAGACAGCTTTCGGGGGGAGCGCCATACCCAGGGACAAACTTATATGGAAGTCATAATGCCAACCTCGTATCGAGATATGATACTTCTCTTCCTTGTTTCATTTCGATTTAACCAGAGCCGGACTCGAGTCAAAATTCCTAACCTAGTCGCTCTTTTTCTGGACTGGTGTTTCCGATGTTGTCCCTACCCTTGATTTGTCTGACTTTCATTGGGTTCGCCTCGCCCATTCTGGCTCAATCAGTCTTTGCTCATGTGATAGTAAGTTGACCGTCTTCAAACGCTGGTTGGGCAATTCCTAACAGTATTCACATAGGTGGGGAACACTTATAGCTATACCCAAGCCAACTGGGCAACCGACATTGCCACTGCAGCCGCCGCAGGTATCGACGGATTCGCGCTCAATGTTGGTTATCTCGACACGATTAATCCACTTGGATTTGTCCAGGCTCAACTCGACAATGCATATCAAGCCGCCGATGCGGCTGGCTTTCAGATGTTCTTGTCGTTTGATTACCTAGCCCAGGGAGCTTGGGATCAGAATGCGGTAATCAGGACGGTGAATGGTTACAGCTCGCACGCAAGTCAGTTCAAATGGCAGGGGAAGCCTCTGGTCTCAACTTTTGAGGGTGCCGATCATGCAGGGGACTGGGCCTATATCAAAGCCCAGACCAACTGTTTCTTCGTCCCAGACTTCTCAAGTCAAGGTGCCGAAGGTGCTGCTGGCAAGCCGAATGTCGATGGTCTTCTTTCGTAAGTTTACTCATTCCTTGAGCGGCAACCCAGCATTTCCTCTCAATAAGTGCCTGCTGACACCCATGCAGATGGAATGCATGGCCAAACGGTGCAACCGACATGACAGACGATGATGATAAGGCGTACGTTACAGCACTCAACGGTCGACCCTACATGATGCCTGTCTCTCCTTGGTTCTATACAAATCTTCCATTGTGGTCAAAGAATTGGCTTTGGCGCGGTGATGACCTATGGCACCATCGCTGGAATCAAGTTCTCAACATTCAGCCAGCTTTGGTCGAGATCCTGACATGTGAGTGAAACGAACCATTTCAAGTTTTGAGACAAACAATCCTAAATGTCTATTGAGGGAACGATTGGGGAGAATCCCACTATATCGGCCCAATGCCACCCAGTGATTCCGCCATTCCGACCGGGGCGGGTCCGTATGTCCAGAACAACCCGCATGACGCCTGGCTGAAAGATTTACCTCACTATATTGCAGCGTACAAGAACAAGAGTAGGCCCGACACTAGCCATGTTACCTTCTGGTACCGTCTCAATCCCGGATCGGGGTCAGCATGCGGCGCTGGAACCACATGCAACACTCCAACACAAGGCCAGGTGGCTCTCAATCCGCAGGAGTGTGATATTGACGCTGTCTTCTTCACTGCGTTTGTGCCAGACACTGCTCTGGCCACAGTCAATGTGACAATTGGCGGGTCGACCCAGATAGTCTCTGCCACCACCCCTGGCATCTTTCACTCCAGTGTGCCGTTCAACGATATGACTGGCGATGTCACAGTTGCTGTGACCGCAAGTGATGGCACCGAGATTGGTCCTGTCAATGGGGCACCCATCAGCGCAGCGTGTGCTGGCGCAGATGTCAATTGGAATGCATGGGTTGGGGGATCTTAGGTGGATTGGTGGAAGGTGTGCAGGCACTTTTATTGACTTCTTGTATATGCTTTTGTGGGCAAGCCCATAGTTCTCCATGTCGGTGCGCAGGACGACGTGCCATTACTTTATACTTGATTCCCATAGTGGATCGAATGCCATTTTCCGAGCACTCCTTTGAGACCGTTCTTGATGTATCGTGGTATTGAGCGAAGAGGCTCGGTGCGGGTCTACTTCGGCCGAAAGCTTTGGATAGTTTGCGTCACGCCCAATCAACTCTTGACTAAAAAGTTTCCGTTGCCCTTTGAACCCTCTACACTCACTGCCCTCTTGTTGAGCAGCGGCGAACCCTTTGAGCCATCTGTCGCAAGATCCCGGGGAGAAGAATGTCTGGATGGAACGGTGTGCGGAGTCTCATCGGAGCAAATCCCCTACGATGTGTTCGATCTGACCAGGTGCGACCCTTGCAAACCGGCGCAACTCGAATTCTCAATCGGAACCTCAGCCTCCATGCCACAACGATAACGCTGTGCCGGCGGCATCAACACGAGCTTGGGATAAAGAGGGACCTGATCAGGGATCACATACGCTCTCTAGAGCTGCGCAGGAGGAGGTTCTCCACGTCCCATGTGTCGAGACATGGACATATCGATCCGCCAAAGCCAGGTGAAGAGTAAGACTCAACTTATACTCCGGAATTTCTGAAACATGCTGATGGGTGATGACAGGCTCAAAGTCACATTTATAGACAAGGAAGGGGACGAACATACGTTTGAGGTTGCAGAGGGCGACAACCTGCTCGATATTGCGCAGGCCAATGACCTGGAGATGGAAGGTGTGTTCTGAATCCACTTGCGCAAACCGTCTCCGTTGCTTTATTCTGACAACTTCTACCCAGGCGCCTGTGGTGGTTCATGCGCCTGTTCTACGTGTCACGTTATAGTCGATTCGGACGAAATGTATGATAAGATCCCAGAGGCCACCGATGATGAAAACGACATGTTAGACCTGGCATTCGGCCTGACGGAAACATCGAGATTAGGCTGCCAGGTCAAGATGACCAAGGAACTGGACGGGTTGGTGGTGAAACTACCGCAAATGACACGGAACATGCAGGCTTCGGATTTCGAGAAGCGCAATTGATGATGATAGATTGAGGGTTGGACATTAGACATGTACTATCACAAACCGCTCTCCTTTGCTCTTCGCTTGGCTGGGCGTCATACTCAGAAAACTGTTTAACACCCAGGCTGTTCTCCGACTATTGCACCGATGTGCTCTGAGCGTCCTTTTTCCCTGCGAGCAGATTCAAGAATCCCTGCTTGCTCATCTCGTTGACCTTCTCCTCGCGGTTTGCCATTCCTATAGTCCCCTTCTTCCGCTCCTCCTTGGCCACCTGTTCAGCTTTGACTTGAGCGGCGCGGACGGCGTTGAAGAGCTTGACCACACCACGCTGGGCGATTTTCCGCAACCTCTTTTCTTCCTCGGCCACCTCGCCCGCTTGTCCCGAACTGAGGCCCAAAACGTCCTTGACTCTTCCTCGTTCCAGCTCTTCCTTGCGATCTGACCTCAATTTGGCCTTTGCCTTTTTCTCCAAGCGGTCGTTGGCGAGGGAGGCGCTCGTTTCCGCCGCCTCCTTACTTCTCGATAGGACGGGGTCTTTGCGAGCTGATCGTGACAGCTTGGTCGACAGGATTTTTGATATCGAGGTAGAAAACGCTTCCGGATCGTTCCTCTTGCTTGTTTTTCTCCGTCTGTCTGTCTCATGAGGGCCTTCTTCCGTGCTGTCCTCGTCCGAAGTCCCAGCTTCGTCAGGGTGCGTCTCTTGGTCTTCGTCTTCTGTGTGTGCATCAGATGCATCATCCCCTTCAGCAGGGGTTGGCGTCTTCGTTTTTGACTTGGCCCTCTTCACTGCGGGTTGCTCATCGTCGCTATCGTCCAAATTCACGGGAGTGAATCCTTGTTCTTCTTGTTCCTCCTCGTCGTCGCTTGAGCTGTGGTACTCGACTTGTTTGCGAAAACGCTTCTTCGGTCGCTCGGTCTTCCCACGCATCCCATCTTCGACTTTACGCTTCTTTTGTGATAGAGGAGCCATCTTGGGCGTGGTATAATGAGCGGGTCGCTGGGGATAATGAGAAACAGTACGTGCTGGTATCACTCGAGACCGGCCAAGATTTGTTCTGGAATTTCTTTGAAAATTCCCGGCAAAACTGCGGTGCAACTTGACTCCCACTTTTGATGTCGCATTCTTCCCCACACTCGCATCGAACCCGTCTCGCCGTCAACTTCGTGTCGCCTTCACTCTCTTTGATCTCGCCGGCCCCAAAGGTTGAACTTACCCGTATATCAGAATTTCTCTTGCAACACCTCTCTCATCTCTTGCAAGATGGTTCTCTCAGACCTAGGGCGGCGCATCAATGCCGCAGTGTCGAACCTCAATCGAGAACCCAACCTCGACGAGAAAGCCTTCGATGCCATGATCAAGGAGATATGTTCGGCCCTCCTGTCGGCCGACGTCAATGTTCGACTTGTTAAGAACCTGCGAAAGTCGATACAGAGCGCTGTCAACTTTAAAGACCTTCCGCCTCACACAACTTCGAATGGCAAGAAGCGCATGATCCAACAAGCGGTCTTCGAACATCTAGTCCAACTCGTCGATCCCCATGCGGAACCATATAGACCGAAGAAAGGCAGGTCGAACGTGATCATGATGGTCGGTCTTCAAGGCGCGGGAAAGACTACAACCTGTACGAAGCTGGCGAGGTACTACGCCGCCCGGGGTTTCAAAGCCTGTCTAGTCTGCGCGGATACCTTCAGAGCAGGCGCTTATGATCAGCTGAAACAGAACGCTACAAAAGCAAAGATACCGTACTACGGTTCACTCACACAAACGGATCCTGCAGTGGTAGCTGCTGAGGGTGTCGGGAGATTCAAGAAAGAGAAATTTGAGGTTATCATCGTTGATACCTCAGGGAGACATAAACAGGAAGCAGACTTGTTCCAAGAAATGATTCTGGTACAAAATGCCATCAAACCTGATCAGACAATCATGGTTTTGGATGGCACGATTGGTCAAGCGGCCGAGGCACAGTCGGCCGCTTTCAAAGCCACAGCTGACTTTGGTGCTCTTATCATCACCAAAACAGACGGTGGTGCAGCCGGAGGAGGTGCTATCGCCGCTGCAGCTGCAACCCATACTCCTATCATCTTTCTTGGTACCGGTGAACACTTGGCAGATCTAGAGCGGTTCGATGCAAGATCATTTATCTCCAAGCTCCTCGGATATGGAGACATGAGCGGTCTGATTGAGCACATTCAAACACTCACAAGGGAGTCAGCAGGGATGAAGGAAACCCAGAAACATTTGGCAGAGGGTATCTTCACGATCCGCGACATGAAAGAGCAAATCACGAACATAATGAAGATGGGCCCTCTTTCCAAGATCGGCAGTATGATACCCGGTATGAGTGGCCTGATGCAGGGCATGTCCGACGAGGACGGAACTGAAAAGCTGAAAAGAATGGTATACATTTTTGACAGCATGACGACGAAAGAGCTGGACTCTGATGGCAAAATCCTGATATCACAGCCGTCTCGAATGGTGAGAATCGCCTGTGGCTCGGGCACCAGTGTCAGAGATGTCGAAGAACTTCTGACACAACATAAAGTGATGGCCAGCGTGGCCAAGAACATGGGCCAACAGAAGAAGAACATGGCCAAAGCCAACAGTATGTTGCAAGGCGGGAACAGGCAACAGCAGCTCGCAGCCATGCAGAAACGGATGCAAAGTATGGGTGGCGGCCGGGGCGGCATGCCTGGTGGTGATCTGGGCAAGATGATGCAGATGATGCAAAACATGGGCATGGGAGCTGGAGGCGGTGGCGGTGGAATGGATGCTCTCATGCAGCAGATGGGAGGAATGTTTGGCGGCAGCGGCGGCGGCCGAGGCAGAGGAAGATGAATGAGTTCCAACCCATTCGAAACCCTTCCAAGTATCGCTACAGGAAGAAAAGGCAACTTCCCATCGAAGAGCATCCGACCAAGGATATATTGTCCGGAGACTGCTGCTCTCCGATACGATATGTTGAAGACGAGGTGATCTCAGAAAGGCGATCCCTGTTGTCAACTCATCGTGAGAAGACTCTTAAACAGGGGTCGGGTTGTCCCTGGCTGGGACAAATATGAGAAGACTGTTGACTGGCCCAAATGTACGCCAGAATAAGCATGGCAAGGACTCTCGGCCACGGCGAATGAACTATCTTCACAGCACGCGCGCAGAACCGCAAAAGTCTGGGGAGCTCCTACTGGGGAAAGATACACAGCGCAACTCGTCCCCTCCGGATTAGATAGTGCCTCGAGGATATTCAGACACTGAATGTTGCAGCAGCCGGCCGAACCAATGCGCCGAGTGACACAATGGATGATGACTAGGACTGCAACGAATTCATGATCCCATTTTGCACCTCACAGAAGGGGAGTCAGTATATCGTACAGCGAGTTCTATCATGTTATCAAATATAGTCGATTCGAGAGAGTGATTTGCCTTCCAGCTCCAGACGAGTTTGACTATGGGCGGCTCCTCTGTGGTAGAACTCATTTCTGTCCTATCGAGGTATATTCTACTCGGTCCAGTACCCTTTTCTCCCCGTGCGGCGGCAGCCTTGCCATGTATCTGGTGGTGCTCATACCTCCGCCAATCGGAAGCCCGGAGCATTTTCGCCGCAAAATCCCGCTCCGATCGACAAACGCGAATTTCTTTTTGCCGCAGGCATTTGCGCACATGGGCCCCAGCGATTCTTCATCTAACAAGTACAAAAGTGCTTGCATCAGTATCCCGCCCGATCTCGCACTCGGACAAAACGAACCCCCATCCTCCTCCTGACCACATCCACTCCTTACCATAAATTGAACGACGTCCTTGACGATGGCGTTCCCAGGCGCATTCGGCGGACCGGGGATGAGCGGCGGAGCAGGAGGAAACGCAGGCTTGAGCGAGCAGGAGCAGCAGATGGTGAAGATGGTGAGCCAGCACAAAATATCCCTCAGGCTTTCGTGTGGTATGGGGCAGCATGCGGAGCATGGCACTCTGGCTTCCTGGCAATCATGGCCGTGGAATGGCGCAAGAAGAACCGATAGCTAATCGATTGGGATGCGCGGACACAGATGCAAAAAGGAATGGAATCATGCGTCGCCAAATCAGCTCTGGCAGGTGGAATGGGTTTCGTTCTCGGCGGCGCCTTTGGCCTGTTCATGTCGAGTGTAAGCTACACTATTTTCCCTCTCTTCGCACCGAACCTTCGCCCGCAGTCTACCTGTGGACGATTCTGTCTCTCAATGCCACGTCTTCCGTCGCCAAATCCTTTTGACTGACTGGTCTCTGCAATAGATGGCCTACGACACTCCCTTATCGCCTCAGGGCCAGCAAATAACCAACCTCCCGGTCCGCGAACAACTCCGGCGAGGCCTCAAAGACATGGGTTCGAAATCATACTCGTCGGCCAAGAACTTCGCCCTCATCGGTGCGCTTTATAGTGGCACAGAGTGCTGCATAGAAGGCTTCCGGGCCAAGAGTGATCTCTCGAACAGCGTCTCTGCCGGCTGCATAACGGGCGGGATATTGGCGCACAAGGCAGGGCCCCAGGCTGCTGCGCTCGGGTGTGCTGGCTTCGCAGCATTCAGTGCGGCCATCGATGCGTACATGCGCATGCCGGAGAGCGACTGATTGAGGAAGACAAGAAAAAGACAAAAGACATTTTCGATTCTGTTTTGTGTGATCAACAAGCCGATGGATCCTAATTGGAGATGGATTTTTTGGGTTTCACACGACGCATGGAGTTCACCGGCGTTTGAGAATTGTTCATGGAAATAAATGTACAGCATGCCCAAGTTTCGGATTTTAGTCGTCAATATCATGCCGGCACCTGCATACATATATGGTCGCAGGGAAGAGCGTTGAGCGAGGCATTTGCACGGCGCAAGAGGAAAGTTTTGGATGGCATCGAGAGGAGTCTCCTGAAAGAATGGCGATTGTGATATTCGACCGAATTGCAGAGATGCCAACTGTAAGGCTCCGGCTGTATGAGATATGGCTTGTTGGGAATGAACCTCTGGCTTCAGGTTCGAGCAGGAACGGCATCACGGCG